TATGATGGTGTGTGTGTGTGTGTGTGTGTGAGCATTGGGCTGCGTGGTTTTCCTAGTTATATAAACGTCAAGACTTTTGGTTACTACAGACTGAGGTAATGGAGTAGGGTGAGTGTTCTGCAAAGCTCCTTCGTCCCTGGGAAGGGAAACACATTTTGGGTTTATTTCATGAGGGAGAAACCAGTATGCCATCTGGGAAAATCCCGCTCCTGTTCATCACACCGAATAGAAGACAGGCCAAAAATCTCAATTAGGACCAGGTGGGTTTTAGGTCCCTTGACCTCGCCGAGAGAGGAGAACGGCTCCCTCAATCGCTGGGACACCAGCTCCCCAGCAAGAGATTTCATCATTTCTGAGCTTCGAGGGAAGCTGCTCAAACGCTGGCCATTTCAAGCCCAGTGTCCAATTATAGGGCCGAGGAGTTTAGGACATTAATCAAGAAGTAAAAAAAAAAAGAAAAGAAAAAGAAAAAGAAAAAAAGACGGAGGCTATTTTGGCATAATACTCTGCCAGTCACAAGGCAAATTCCGGGTGTTGGAGCTACAGCTGAGGCCATTTTTCAGCCTCGAGTGTCCTGAGGGTGAGGTGGAGAGGGAGAGGAGGGAGAGGAGGGAGAGGAGGGGCCTGTTTGGGCTTCATTTGTCCTGACGGATGACAACATTCAAGCAGGAAGTTTTCCTTCATCTCTTCACACATTTTTCAGAAACCAGAGACCATCGAGCCCCACCTTTGTGTGTCTTTGTGTTTGCTGTGTTTGCGTTTGCTGTTTCTTGTCTTGACTCCCAGGGACCAGGTGAGTGAGGGCCTGTCACCCCCTTGTGTGGCTGAGGGACATGCCGCTCGGCCCCTGGAGCCCCGCTGGGGTGCGCAGCACGAGAGGAGGAGGTGGGCAGCCCCTGGGAGCTCCCAGAAGCCCGGGTACGAGCTGAGCCACCCCCACCCCCCACCAGCCTCCCACATCTCTGAAGGGGGCTCTAGAGCCTCCCCGCTCCGGGTTTTGGGAGCGCGGAGTCTCTGTGCAGAGCCACCACGGCGCCGAGAAAGGAGCACGGGGCTTCCCTGAGGGTCCCAGCTCTGCCCTTCTCTAGCCGTGAGCTTGGGACTGTCTGTGACGAGGGTGGTGAGAACCCCACCCCTCGCTGCGTTGTTGGAGGATCCGAGGGCAGGATGGCTGCACCAGACTTTGTAAACTGTGATGTGCGGAACAGGTGTTGCTAACGTCACGTGGGAAAGGGAGTTGGTTCTAGAAAGGTAGGAACATGGTTCCAAAGGTCTGGGCTCTAACCGAAACCAGCCCTAGCACCACTCCCCACCCCCGCACATGTCCCAAGCATCTACATTCATGTGGGGATTATCTCTGAGCTCACCAACCCCACACGGACAGACGGACGGATGGATGGAGGGACGCAGGCGGCTGCAGAGCTGAAGAAACGGCCCCACTCAAGGGAGGAGCTGTAGGGAGTGTCATCCGGCCTGGTGAGCCTTAGTCTCTGAGGTCAACAAGACGGGGTGCTGACGGGGTGGGGGACACAGCCCAGACCTGAACCCAGGACAAAGGGACAAAGCACAAAGGAAAGATGGTCCAGGGTCAGAGGAGCCATTGTCTGCTCAGGTTCATGGGACAGAGGTGGCCCCAGGGAGCCAAACAGCCAGCTGGGGACACGGAGGGGTTCAGTGAATCCCTTGGCAGGGTTTAAAAATCCATGATTCTTAAGGGTACGCACAGGCTCGGGTGGGGGAGGGGAGCACCGTAACGCGCTCCTCCCCTGGGACTCGCTGAACATTGGTATCAACTCAACCGGCACCACAGGGCAAACATGATAACAGAACTTTCCAGATTCTCCCAAGTAGATGGAGGGAACAGTTCATTCTGCTGGGGGTATTGCAGTGGGACATTTGAGCTGGACCTTGAAAATAAGTAAGTATCCATCAGACGGAGGGAGGCCATCCAAGCATAGGGAACAGCTTGCAAAAATCAGGGAGAGCCCGGAGTGGGTCCTCTTCCTGGGCCTGGGGCCATGGTGGCAGGAAACAGCATGTTCTCCTCCCGGGGACGGGAGTAGGGGGGCAACAACAGATGGCGAGTGCCCCAGGAGCATGGGGGCCAGGACCCGGACCAGGCCAGGTCGAGGCTGCCCCCTGGTGTGTGTGGGCCGGGATGGAAGGGAAGGAAGGGGCGGGATTAAGAGCGGCCTTGAATGCTGGGTTAAGGAGCAGAGGCTTAATCTGAACAGAGATGACAGCTGATTGAATTAGGGGATTGAGTGGTGAGCTCTGGGGTTCTCTGAGTTCCTTCGGGGCCACTGGGGATGGAGGATGGAGGATGAGTTGAACAGGGAGAGAGGCAGGAGGAGATGAAGTCCAAGCTGGGGAGAGTGGACAGGGACCCTCAGAAGAAACAAGAGGGCCCTTGTTGGGGGATGGAGGCTTCTGTCTCCAGGACACTCTGTCCCTGCACCTGGGATGGGGCTCGATAAGGGGTGCTTGCTAACAGCCCCGCTGGCTCCCTTGTGCCTTTAGAAGCACCTCGAGTGGGCTCCACACTGGCCAGGCTGTGGGGACAGAGCTCCTGGCTATGACAGCAGAGAAGCCACGCACGTCTCGTCGGAGGATGGAGAGAGGGGAGCAGGATGGCCAGTGTGGAAGAGGAAGGACGCTGACCAAGGCACCAGCAGCAGCAAGACAGGCGTGGCCCCGTGGTGTCCCCCAAGCAGAACTCAGAGAGCCTCGTCTTCACCATTCACTGAACCCACTCTGGAGTGTGGACCCTTCGGGGACTTTGGCTGGAGTATGTGTGTGTGTGTGTGTGTGTGTGTGTGTGTGAGACTCAGCAGGAGGGGGAGGAAGGGGCACTGGGGGAGAAGAGGGCCCAGGGGTGGATCCTGAGGGCCGTATCCTAGAAATGGGGTAACACAGGGCACAGCACAGGGGGCTCAGCTTCTCATGGGACATCTCTGGACCCCAGCTCCCCAGCTCTGGCTCCTCTCTTTAGGAGAAAGGGGACATCTGTCTTTGCTCTCATGTCAGCTGCACCCGGCAACACTGCTGGCCAGTTGTCCAAGGGGGGCATCCCCTCGGCCCCAAGGAGATGGGGTACTCTATCACTCTCCGGTAAGGGAGCAGCCTCTAATCCCTCCTGCTCAGCAGCATTGAGAAAGAAGGGCCCTGTCTGTCACTTACTGGCCTCATTTCACTGCGGGGTGCAGGGCTCAGCCAGGCGCTGGCCACAGGTGGGGCTCCTTTGAGAAAGTGACCTCGGGGTCCTGGGCAGAGCCACCCGCCTGCAGATGACGTGCAAAGGTGGGAGACAGGACATTCCTCACTGTGGGAACTGACATTTTCAAATCACCCCAAACCATGCCACTTGAATTCATCCTATTGACCCCCCCACAATCCAATGTGCTCGGTTGATTTGGACCTGAAAACTGCACTCCATTTTGGCAAGTGAATGCTTTCTGAAAACAAAGTCAGAGCTTTATTGCAAAGGCTCTGTGCTGCTCCCAGCTGCTAACAAGTGTGAGAGACACGTTCACTTGGGTCTTTCACGGGGAAGCCCTTTTGCTCCAGTAGCGACAGGGACTGAAGAATGGGCCTGGGGTCATCCCAGATGGCTTCTCTCACAGCACCACTCGGGAACACGGATGGTCCTGGCCCAGACCACCAGACTGCAGGAGAGGGGGCAAGGCCCTGGGAGACCCCAGCGTGCCCCGAAGCAGTTGCGGGGGGTTGGGGGAGTTGGAGCTGGAGTCACGCTCACACAGGGACATAAAGGAAATGGGGCTCTGGGGTGGACCAACAGAATTGGACCAAGCTGACACTACAGATGACCCCCCCAGGCCTTTCTTTTCCCATCTGAAAATGGGAACAGCAGTAGGAAACTACCCAAGGTGACTGGGGAGTCAGGCTGATGACTGTCCCCGGACAGAGGCATTTAGTAGCCTCAGCCTCCTCCTGCCCCTCCCATCTTAGGCCTCTTGTCCTGCTGTCTGTTTGGGAAAACAAAGTCATTACAGGGGGCCTCTGGTCGACAAACAGCCCAGAGTGAGCTCTGTAGGGCTTGGTTTTCCAAAATGCCACCTTTGGAGGCCTCTGAGTCTTCCCCTCTGAGAAGGGCTTCGCCTGGGGACACAGATGGAGACAAGGGAAGGGTCTCGTGGAAGGGAGCATGTGGGCCCTCCTTTCCCTCACGCCACGCCCACCACCTGAGCTTCGGACATCATGTTCCTGCTCTCGCTGGTCCTCCCCAGAGTCTTCTGTCTTCCACCCACCCAGGGCCCTCTGGCAGCACCTGCCGTCCACCTGCTGGCCATGCCTATCCGTGCAGGGTGGGCCATCAGAAGCCACGTGACCGCGGGACACCGGCTTTGGAATCAAGTTCAAACAAAATCAAACAAAATGACCTCCGAGGCTCCCGTCAGCTCTAAGACTCTCAGAGCCTTCCTTAGTTACTCCTTGGTTAGTTATTTCATAATTAACAACAAAGCGAACACTGCAGGAACAGGCAAGCTAAACGAATAAAGGAGGCCGATCTGCTCACGGCACCCGTGAAGCACATGATTGGGGACGGGAGAGTCGCGTCTGCCTGCGTGCCAGCGCCGCTTGGTTCTCACAGCTCGCTGGGAGGAAATGAACATGATGTCGATGGGAACAGTTCTCTCGGAGGCCCCGGCACCGCCCCGCTTGCCCCCTCGCCAGGCCGTGGCTTCCTCCGGGTCTCCTGCCACGGCTCAGGCTGGGGGTCTTGGATGCCCCGTGCCCCCAGCGCAACAGTTCTGCCCGGTTGTTGCTTCCTATGAGCCCAGAATAGATGCTGCCATCTGTCACGTTTGGGATGTCATATGTCCACCGATGACTCACGAATCTCTGGGCCACCAAGAGGAAGGCGGGCGTGGAATCATCAGCCTCTCGACGCCAGGCTGAGCAGCACGTGGAGATGAGGAGGGGCAGAGGAGGGGCTCTCCTGAAGGGGCTCTCTGCAGCCGGCCTCCTCTCTCAGAGGGTTCTCTTCGGCCCGGAGGGGCTCATTCTCCATCCGCAGCATCGAGGGGCCCTCAGGACAGTGCGTGTCTGGAGTGGGAGACCTTGTGGGCACTGTTTGTGCAGGCCGGGGGGGTGCCCTGTGCCAGCGGGGCCGAGGCGGCGGCCTCCTGGGGGATTCCGCTGTCCAGGGCCCGAGCCCCCGACGCACCACTCCGGCCGCACACCAGGCGCTTCTCGTCCAGGAGGGAGAGGTGGTACTCGCACAGGTCGACCAGCGAGGCCACCTGCTCGTGGAGAGGCAGCATCTTGAACTTCCGCTGAGCCAGGTAAAAGAAAGCCTCCACGAAGCCCTGCAAGCACATGCCTGTGGACAAAGAGAGCAGCGGTGAGCGGGGCAAGGCCCCACGGCACCCGCCAGGCCGCCTCCTCCCCCGCCGCTTCCCTTCTGGAAACTTCAGCTTCGGGGTTCAAGTCCCAGAGCGCCTACCCTGTGCCGGGCACCAGCCGGGCCTTCACCACCATCTGCGGATTCAAGCCCCTCATCAGTCCTCTGAGGTAGGCTTAATTCACATGGTTTGACAGACGAGGAAACTGAGTCTCAGAGAAGTGGAGCTGTCTGGGCCACGTCACGTGGGCGGAACGTGGCGGAGCTGGGATTTCAACCCCAGCCGAAGCCTTATTCCTCCGCACCGGCCTCACAGGTCCGCTTTAAAACCCAGTCCCTAAGTTTTCTAGCAGTGAAGAAAGTAAGTTACGGAGAGAAACCTGAAGGTTTTAGCTCTTGACAGAGGTGCTGGTTTCGTGGGTGCCTTGTCAAAACTTAGCCATTTTTACCTTAAAATGTGTGCATTTTGCTGTACGTAGATTTCAACTCAAAGAGTAAAATAAAGCTGACCCCCTTCTCTCTACCCAAAATGCTATTCTAGACAGCAGTCCCACCACGTCCCTGAAACGTTCTTCTCTGACTTCGCCTCCCAAGTTTCTACTCGTCCTTGGGATCTGAGCTCAAAAATCTCCAGCTCAGTAAAACTCTCCCTGATCCCCAGATTAGATGTGGCCCCTGGCACCCGCTTCCTGCATTTTCCTTCGCGGCACGGACTGCGGCTTCTTTTCGTGTTTGTGCGGTCGGTTCTTCAACCGTCTCTATCTTCCCTGCTGGGCTGCGAGCTCCAGCTCGCCACTCGTCCCCTGGCACCAGACCCTGGGGGCTCCAGATAGAATGTGTACACGAGGGCATGAATGGATGAACAAATGAGTTTGCCCTGGGTACTTTACTGACCTTGCCACTCACGACACCTTTTTGAGATCAGTGTTCTTACGTCCCACCTTACAGATGAGGAAACTAACATAGAGAACATTCAGGCCACGAATGTACCGCCCTGAACGTTCATGAAGGCCAGATAATAGTGACCTTGCAAATTCAAACTTTGACTCTCAATTCTTTTTTTTCTTTTCTTTCCTTTTTTTTTTTTTTTTTTAAGATTTTACTTATGCAAAATAGAGAGCAAGAGAGAGCACAAATGGCAGGGAGGAGCAGAATCCCTCCTGAGCAGGGAGCTCAACGTGGGGCTCAATCCCAGGACCCTGGGATCATGACCTGAGCCGAAGGCAGACGCTTAACCGACTGAGCCATCCAGGCGCCCCTTAACTCTCACTTCTTTTAACTAAGTTGTGCTGCATGAAAAGTTCTGAGTCTTTTCAATGTCCAAGTGAAAATGAACCCCATGATTCAAAGTCATGGGATTCCTGGGCTCCTCAGGGCCGGTGACGCTCAGTATTGTAGAGGAGGCCGGCTTCACCCCTGCTAATCCATACCTTCCCAGTGGCCTTGCTTCCCGGCTCACCGCATTATTTAGGCTGCTGTCCTCGGGGAGAAGCCTGGCTGGGAGTTTGTAAATCCTGGTTTATATATGGACCCTGGGATCTGAGAGCTCTTTTTGTGTTGGGAACTGGCGCTGAGCAAAGAAGCTGTTTCTTTGTCTCCTTCCAAGTCCATCAAAGCTTTTTGCTCAGCTTTTCTGGACTCCAGATGCTCTGCCAGTGCTCTGCTCTATTTGGCCCCGATGGGAGATGCTGATAAAGGGAACAGTAACCCTGGTGTAAAACCCTTTTAATGTAAACAGAGGCCTGGTGCAGACAGAGACACAGGGCCAAGGGGGGCTCCATCTGCATCAAGAGACCGATATTTCTGGGGTGCCTGGGTGGCTCATTTGGTCGGGCATCCGACTCTTGATTTTGGCTTGGGTTCTGATCTTGGGGTCAGGAGATTGAGTCCTGTGTTGGGCCCTGCACACAGCAAGGAGTCTGCTCCAGATTCTCTCTCTCCCATCCTTCTGCCTTCCCCTGGCATGAGTGCACCCTCTCTTTCTTTTTCTTTTTCTCTCTCTCCTAAATAAATAAATCTTCAAACAAAAAACAAAAACGAGAGAAAGAGAGAGATATGGATGTTTCCTAATCACCGACAATGGGCCAGGGCTCTCCTAGATTGTGTGCATGCGTGGGCATTTGTGCTGGCACGGGCGTTTGTCACCGGCAGTGGGAGGGGCAGACCCGAGCAGGCTGGAAGAGGCTGGGATCCAAAGCCAGAGAGACCCAGCACAGCCCCAGCCCCCAGCGGCAGAAGTGTGTGATCTCACCCGCGCTACTCAAAGTGTGGTCGGCAGACGGGCGCCCAGTCCAGGGACTGCGTGTCCCTGGTCCCTGACAAGATAAGAAGCCTGGGCCAGAATATAAATCACCCTCCTCATCACTCACATTGTTTAGCTCAGCTGGCAGTACTTTGTAGCCAGTCTTTCTCTGTAAAGGAAGCAGCGGGCGTTTACATTCTGGCTCAAGCCTCTTATCCAGGACGAGAAGGAACAGTGGGTGGACTGCAGCTCCGAGCAGCCCTGGTCTACAGCCCTTCTCAGCTTTACGTGCATGAGCTTGTCAAAATGCAGATTCTGGGGCGGGGCCTGAGACTCTGCATTCCTAACAAGCTTCCTGGTGGTGCCCATGCTGCAGTAGTGAGCACTGAGCACCTTTTACTCAACAAATATTTGTTTCCTTCCCTTAATTAAGTGCATAAGGCTGTGTTAAAGCTGTAATGCTCAGGGGAAAAAGAAAAATACAAGGACTTTTTTTGGGGGGGAAAGGTATTATGGCTAAATCATCTGGAAGAAAACGTTCTACAATGAGAAATGAGATTTCGTGTGTTCTACTTGGTTTTCTTTATGCTTGTCTACATTTCCTGATTTTCTATAGGAAACACATAACTTATTTTGTCTTTTTATGGGGAATCTAAAAAAAAAAAAAAAACCAAACCCACCAAACGAACAAACAAAGAGCAAATCAGACCTATAAATACAGAGAACGAACTGATGATTGCCAGACATGGTAGGGGGGCGGCGGTGGTGGACGAAACAGGTGAAGGGGAGATACAGGCTTCCCATTATGGAATCAATACCTCATGTACCCAGTTGTAAAATATGCAACGGGAAATTCTAGAGGGCTGAAAGAGGTGGCTAAGCAGCGGCAGCCACTTTTAATCGTGAACCCTTTGCTACTATTGGAATTTGAAGTTAAGTGCACATATGACTTTGAAGAAAAGGCAGAGTGCCAGCTTCCTGCATACATGTTGTACTTTGATAAAGGTTATATACGTGCAGGGAAAACGGAAGCGGAAGGGAAGGGCGCTGCACACTATTGACTCTTGCAGGAGTCAGGCTGGCTGTGCCAGGCGCTCAGATCCCGAGTATGACTCCCATCGTGCGGATGAGGAAACAGAGGCCCCGAGAGATGAAATAACTTGCCCTCCAGCCCCATGCTGGTAAGTGGCTGGTAAGTAACTGGGATTTGAACCCAGGCCTCACACACTGCTGATTCTGCATCTGATTCCTGCAATAAGGAATGCGCAAAGCAGGTAGGGTTCTGATGGGCAGAGATGAGCTGGGAGCAGTGGGCTTGGCTGGGAACAGGGAGTTGGGGCATGTGGCCTAGTAAGAACCCAGGGTGCCTGCAGCAGGACAGGTAGAGAAGGGCGCAGCTGGATGAGACTGGGAAGGGCTGGAAGGCTGGGGGACGAGCCAGTTGTGGAGTTCCAGGCCTAGAACAGTCTGAGCATATCCTCCAGTCAAGGGGTGTGTGTGTCCTATTTTGTTATAGCGATAGAAACATCATGGGATTTGCTTGTCTTAATTCCTCAAATGAAATCGTGCGTGGGGGGCGGGGGTGGCTTGGAGCCCTGCCCTCCCAGACCGTCCTCACCAGAAACGACTCATCTAAGGGAATCTTGGCTCTTCATACCAGCTGAGCACAAGCCTTCCTGCTGCTCTAAAAGCCTCGTCTGGCATCTGCATTTTACAGAAGAGGGGGCTGGGAAGTGAGGCCCAAGTCAGAGCCAGTGACTGGCAGGAGCGGGACTAGACTCCAGGTCTCCTCACCTCAAACCGCACCACCATGACCAGCATAAGAAAGCAAAGCCGACACTTCTCAGGCCAGGGACTGGGGACAGGGCCTGAGAGCCCCACATTGTCTGCTCAACCCTACTGAGTGTGTCTGAGAGAGTCTGAAGGCCAGGGAGGCTTGGGAAGAGGGATGCCCCACACTATACACCACGAGGACACGGGTGGCTGGCTCCCCCCACAGCCAGGCTGAGGGGCTGTAGGTTTGAGTTTGACAGGACGTGGTTCTTGCATCTCATTTCATCAAGTGGCCCAGCAAGTAGTGGCCAGAGCCGGGTCAATATACCTTGTGCTTGAGAGAATGGAAAGTGCTTAAGTCTCTGCGGGCTGGGAGGTGGGAGGAAGAGGGAGGAGGAAATGTACTGGAGATAATCCAAGTTACCTTCTGTGGGGGGGTGGCGGTCTCTCCTGCCTTTTCCAGATCCTCCACGGACAGTCCCCATGTTCTCTCTGGGTCTTTCCCCTTCCTTCTTACTATTTATTATAAAATACAGTGCCAGTGCCAGCAGAAAGCATAGGAAAGCTCACGAATGTCCTCCCCTCTAGAAACTAAGTGTCCTTGATGACTGACCTTCTCTCCACTCTCTTTGACCACGGAAGATGGGCTTTCACTCAATTGTAATATACATGTACAAAATTTTGTACCTATTATGGCTTAAAACGATAGCATAAATATTTTTGTATGTTGCTATGCAGGCTTCATAACATTATTTTAATAATTGCATAATATTCCATCAAATCTTGCTTTGCATACCATTTTGCCATACCCCACCCCCCATGGATGCTGAAACTGGTTCTATTTTCTTCACTATTCTTGAGAAGTAGATCAGAAGCACTTGGTAGTTCACTGTTTTTATTTCTGATTCCTGTATTCTCTTGCAATGAAACCCTAGGAATCTGGATTGTTTGTTTGTTTTTTAAA